CTTATCATATTTTTCTTAAATTTTAAATCTGGGCTTTATTCAGCTACTCGTTCCCTGAAGCAAACGACATGGGGCTGATTTCACGTGTTTAGCAGCAGCTTGGGGAGATTTTACAGCAGCCCTGTAAGAATGATCGACAGTCCAAAGGCGAGTTGCTAACATGCTCCCAGCTTTAAGCACACACTTGCATAGAAGATTGGGACCTTTGGCCTCACATAGTTTGCAGTACGTGTGACATTCATGGTTTGTTGTATCTCTTGCCAGACGGCTTGTTTCCGGGAGGAGCGGGATGTGTTGGTGAACGGGGACTGCCAGTGGATCACCACCCTGCACTACGCCTTCCAGGATGACAATAACCTGGTACGTCTGTATGTCTGTGTTAGATGAGGTAACTTCCCTTAATAATAACTGCTCTCCCTTTTTATTCTTCAAGCCTTTCATTTCATTTTTTAGAAAGCAGTGCTACGTCCACATGGTGGCTGGTGCATGCACCTTTAGCATTGTAGCAACAGACGTCACCGGGGTCAAAAACACTGACATAAAAGCCCGAGGGATGATTTTGGAGCTAGCTGATTGGTCAGACTGCTTCACACTCCCATTGGCTGCTCGAGGCAGTCGTTCTCAGATTAACCTGACTTCTCTCCACGACCCTGAGTTCAAATGCCACAACTGGTTGTCATTCCATTTCCCACATTCCCAAAGCAAATGTTTTATCCCGAACACTCCCCAAGTCTTAAAAATATCCACGACTGCCCCTCTGACCATTTATTTTTAAATGGACCTGTAAAAGTGACATCATTTAGGTGTTTCCCCTCTGTGTGAAAGAAGAGATGGACGACTGTAGATTCATTTCTTGCAGCTTTGTTCTTGTTGTTTCAAAAAGGCTGCTCTTTATTAGTTTGCCTCTAAGCAGTGCTGTACAGTTTCTGCTGTCTGACACGTTGGCGTCTGTCTCTGCAGTACCTGGTGATGGACTACTATGTGGGCGGTGACCTGCTGACTCTGCTCAGCAAGTTTGAGGACCGGCTGCCGGAGGAGATGGCCAAGTTCTACCTGGCTGAGATGGTGCTGGCCATCGACTCGGTTCATCAGCTACACTATGTCCACAGGTGAGAGGAAAGGTGTTTTGGCACATTACAAAATCAATGTGTGCGACTGTAGTGAGGCTGTGAATATGACCAACATCTCATCTCCCGATATAAAACATCTATCATCCCGATAACGATATAAATCACAAATGTAACATTTTCTGTAAATTCTGTGAATCTCGGGCAGCTCGACTTGCGTGAAGTGTTTCCAGCTG